CGGCGGAGCCGGCCGCTGCAGCAGCGGACGCTGCTGGCCTCGCGGCCCCTCCCTGGCCGACCTTCGTCGACGTGGCGTAGGGCATGACGGGCATCGCCTGCCTCTGCAGTCGCCCACGCGCCTGCTTGCTCACGCTTCGCCCGACGACCCTTCACATCAGCGTAGACGTGCAGCCGCGCGTTGATGCATGGGGGTGTGGCAAGTTGCTGTACGGAGCTGATGAAGCCACAGCGGATTGGCTACTCTGTCGCACCATTGCCGTCAAGTCGTTCTTCTTGTACAGGGCGGTGATCATTCGCAGTGAGTTGGGGGTGTCTGCCAAGCAGAGAAGTGAAGCGACATGGAATATTATTGGTGCCGTTGGACTACCATGGTCAGCCGCATGGTCAACCCATGTGGCACAGACATACACGCTCGGATTCACATTCAGAAGATCACCCTGCGAACCCGTCAAGCAGCTAGAGAGCGCCTTCTCAGAGATGCACAGTCGGTGTTTCTTGTGTTCCCCCTGTCTTTGGAAGGCAAGAGGCAAGCGCGACAGGCAGATTTGGCCCCTGACCCCTCCCACGCCCCTCGCGCCCGACTGCCCCTTTCATGCGCAGGCATTGAGCGATGGATTTTTGTTGCCAGACTAGCAGCGGCGCACGGTGCAGCCTGATCCACGCGGCAGCAATGACTCCACGTGGTCGTAGAAGCCGACCAACGGGAGAAACCTGCTTGGAGCCCGTTGGTCAGAATCATGGGAAGGAAGCCCGAGCTCAAGCGCGCGCGCTGCAGATTGGGCGGGTATTTCCAGCTGCGGGGGGGCTTTGCAGTAGGGCGGCCTCTGGGGTGGCGCCGAAGCCGGGTCTCTGACCGAGGTCCGGGGGTGGTGCAATAGATTTGGTGCAAGAAATCTGCGGGGTTGCAATACATTTGGGGGGTGCAATACATTCCGGGGCGCAAATGCATTGCTGCATTTTCGCGTGCAAGACATTACTTGCAACGCAGTGCAATGCAATTCTCCCGCGCAGTACAGTTGCGATACAACTGCCCCAAATCTATTGCACCAGCCCATTTCAGCTGGACAACCCCTCTTGGGTCACCCACAGCTTTGCTGTGAGGGTCACTTGTGCGGCATGCGCTCCCAAGCCTCCCCCCCCCCCCTGCCTCCGCGCCTGGCGGCGGGTCTGGCTCCGCCGGCGCAGAGTGCGAGTGCGCCGCCGTTGCGTGTGCCCTCGTTCGTGCCGCTCGCCAGACGGATCGCAGCGTTGCCGAAATCTTTAGCGACCCCGAGGCTGCCGCTGGGACTCTCGATCGAGCGTGCGCTCCATTCCCTGGCGATCACACGGCCCCCGCCACCCTCCTCAATTGTGGCGCTGTCCCTGTCACGAAGTGCGTGCGTGCGTGCGTGTACACATCGTGTGCATGGGCAGTCCGATCACCCTTGGAACACCTAGTGTTAATCACCCGGCGTCGGGCACTATGCGTGGACAGATCCCTATTTACGTCGTTCTTCTCGGATGGCTGGAAGCTACCAGGTACCGCCCCCACAGGCAATGGGAGCGGCTCGCGGCCGTTCTTCCTGCGCATGCAGCTGCCTTCCCTTCTCGCTCCCCGCTGAGTTGGGCCGCGCTTCCTGATGCTTATGTCGCCACTCAGGACGACGCGCTCGGTCTCTCCCCTCCGCCCACCCGCCCCCCCCCCCCCCACAGGGCGCCCCCTCCGCGCGCTTCCGCGTCGGGGTCTGCCGGCTCGCGCGCAAAAGCCTGCCTCTCGCAAAGGCACTCTGCGGGGAGGAGGAGGAGGAGGAGGAGGAGGAGGAGGAGGAGGAGGAGGAGGAGGAAGAGGAGGAGGAGGAGGAGGAGGAGGAGCAGGGATGAGGACGAGGGATGAGGAGGTAGGGGGAGGGAGGGGGAGGGAGGAGGAGGCTCTCCTCCGCCGGCGTGCGCGCCCCCGAGGTTCTGGGAAGGTTTTTGGGGGCCTCAGCGGCGACGGGAAGGCGTGGGACTGCAGTGCTGTCCTGCAGGGCGTCTCCGTGAAAGGCTTCGGGGTCGCGTTTTGGAGCAAACTTCCTTGCCCGAGGACCTTCGCGTGGCCAACTCCAATCGGCAGGCCTTCTTGCCCGATCGGCAGGCCAACTCCAATCGGCCCGTGGATCAAACCCTCTTGCCCGATCGGCAGGCCACCACGAGACCAGTCGCTGACCTTCCGACTCTGGCACCTCGCGCGCGCGCGTGCTGCTTGCGGATCCAGGTTGTCCTCGCGAGCTTGACGTCCTTGGGAGAATGTAGATTCCCAAGAGACTGGCGTGCAGGGTTCGCCCAGCTGCACTGGCCCAGCCTCTTCTCGTCACCTTTCTTGCCCGGGGATTTGAATCATTCGCCCTGACATTTAGACAGGTAGAAAAAGAGGTGGAGGAGGAGGAAGATGAGGATCATTTGGGGAACAATGAGAATGAGGAGAAGGATGCCGAGGAGGAGGAGGAGGAGGAGGAGGAAGAGGAGGAGGAGGAGGAGGAGGAGCAGGAACAGCAGCAGGACAAGCGGTGAGGCCCGCGAGGAGGAGGGGGCGAGCACGCGCGCCCCTGCCCGCCGGGCCCCAAGGCATGGTCGTGCCGCGCCCGCGGGGTGCCGAGGGCGCGGCCGCGCCCGACGCAGCTGCCGGCGGCTCCGCGGGCGACCTTCGCGCGCCCCCAGACCTCCAAGCGCCGCGGAAGCGAGAAACGTTGCGCGCGTTCCACTCCGAGCCCTTCGGTGGCAAATCAGAGGAGCCTTGTGTATCCTCGCAAATTTGTCTTTAGCGTCGACCAGCGCCGATGAGCGTCTGGGAGTCGATGAGACAGCGCCGATTTCGCGTCGACTGGCGTCGATTAGCGTCGATCTATTGTCGCCTAGCGTCGATGTGGCGTCGATTAGCGTCGATGCGCAAGAGCCGATCACATGGTAGGGGAGGCTCCCGTGGGTTGCCACCGACAGAGCCCCACGACGGGCGCCGGGTGGGCGTCCACCCCCTGCCGGCCCCCAGGTCGGCCCCCGTCGCGAGCAGCCTCCGCGCGCCGAGGGCGCTCCAACGCGGGGCGACGTTCGCCAGCGAGGCGGTCGAGGTTGACCCCCGTTGGGGGACCCTCGTGGGGTCCCGCCCCGCTCCGACTGTCCGCATACGTGTGTATCTGTACACATGCAGGTATGTGTACTTGCGGAGATCTGTGAATCATCTATAGACCATACACACCACCACCCTACCCACACGTGCGGATCTTCTCAGATTATGGGTATGCTTGTCACCTTTTTGGGACCTCCTGGGAGGGCCCTCTGGGTCACGGCTTGACGCAGCTCGACACACTGATATGGATGGGCTATCGTGGCCGATGTGAGCAAATATGCTCGTCCTCATCCTGAGTTTCCTGGGCGTCGTGAACAACTCATGACGGGCGTGTTTCCAGATGATGTTGGCGTCCAGAGGCTGCCATCCGTCCCCAGCGCCCGCAAGCCAGACGACGCGCGGCTAAAAGGTTTGCCCGAGTGATGGGATCGAAGACTCCAGGTCTTGCGTAGTGACAAGATCACGGCGTCGGAGATCAGGGTGCCAGGTGAGCTCACGCCACCTCTGACGTCCTGTCGCTCCCTCGCATCCCCTCCCACTGCGTTGCTCTTCCTTCCGTCCGCGGACGCGTGTGAGGCTAGCCGGCCTGGACCTCCAACGAGCATACCCCGTGGTGCTGTGCGCAGCCGGAAGCGGGGAAGGAGGGTGGAGACGCGTGTGCGACAGGGACGGGGAAGAGCGCCAGAACCCCACGTTTCAGTCGCGCCTGTCCCTCGACATGAGGGGTATTCAAAAGCAGCCACGACATGGTATGGGGACGATGTTTTGTGAGTCTTCTGGACCATTCGGAATACATGTTCATGGTTTTTGTTCGTCGTTCGTCCAAAAGCCCCCTGTAGGAGGGCAGGTCCGACCCGACCCCACGCAGCGTGTGGGGCAGCAGCGTTCCCGAGAGGAGTGGGAGGAGGAGGAGGAGGAGGAGGAGGAGGAGGAGGAGGAGGAGGAGGAGGAGGAGGAAGCAGGAGGAGGAGGCATCCCCGGGCGTTCCCGAGAGGAAGGGGCCGCGCCTCCGGCGCGCCCTCTCCTCCCCTCTGGGCGGGGCGGGCCTGCGGCGGAAAAGCAAGGGCGGCGGGGGCCCCGTCGGCGGAGCGCCTCGATCGGGGAGAGGCCGCGGGGCATCGAGGACGACGGATGAGGCGGGAGGAGGAGGAGGAGGAGGAGGAGGATCGAGGATCGAGGAGGAGGAGGAGGAGGAGGAGGAGGAGGAGGAGGAGGAGGATCGAGGATCGAGGAGGAGGAGGAGGATCGAGGATCGAGGATCGAGGATCGAGGATCGAGGATCGAGGAGGAGGAGGAGGAGGAGGAGGAGGAGGAGGACGAGGAGGACGAGGAGGAGCGAGGAGCGTGGATCTGTCTGGGTCCGGGGCTCCCCTGAGCCGAGCAAGTGTGAGTCTCGGCTCCTGGGGGCCCACTCTCGCGCTGCAGAGCCCACAGGGGATGCAGCCCAGGGGGCGAGGTCTGTGCGAGCGCTCGGGTCTGTGGGCGACGAGGGCGCCCGCGCGGATCGAGAGGGGCATCGTCTGCTCGGTGGGGTTCTTGCCGTGGGCCACTCGATTGCATCCTTGCCCTGGGCCGCTCGATTGCATCGTCTGTGTGCCTTGTCCTGTCGCCTGCAGTGGCTGCGTCGTGGGTGCGAGCCTGCCCCCGGGGCACATCGTGGCGGTCTCTGCGCGATCCGAGGGCTCTCTGGCCGTCCAGCGGCCGTCCTCCCCTGCGCCCCTCGCCCGCCCGCCTGTTGCACAGTTCGCAGCGGACGCGACCGCCGGGTGCGTGAACCGCTCGTTGGACCCAGCTCCTCCTCCTCCTCCTCCTCCTCCTCCTCCTCCTCCTCCTCCTCCTCCTCCTCCCTCTCCTCCTCCCTCTCCTCCTCCCTCTCCTCCTCCTCCTCCTCCTCCACCTCCTCCTCCGGATACGGTGCGCCGGCAAAGCGCGTATCGGGACCCAAATGCACAAGTGCAGGCGACAACGGCGAGCGATGCAAGGTGAGGATTCGGACGAAGGCATATTGCGGAGGATGCTTGCGGAGACCTCCGAGCGTCCAAGCGCGGGTCCCTGCGTAGTGCCAGCTTTTCGTCGTTATGTCTCTCGCGGCCTTGGACGTTTCCACCCCAGCCTCGCCACAGTGGCGCCACAGGCCCGGGATTACCTGACGCAGGATTGCGGGGAGCCGCTGGATAGCATTGTGTGCTACGGTCAATCGTTGGGTTCCGTTCCGTCCATTGACTTGGAGGGGAGGGGGCCACAGGGGAACGAGTAGCGCCTCGTGTGTAGTTTCACTTCCAAGGGAGACTGAGAGATTGAAAGACACGGATACAGAGGGAGACAGCATTCGAAGACGAATTGAAGATGCAGTTGGAAAGCAACCGTGAGGCTTGAGGCAGGCGGAAAGGTAGGTAATGATCCACCTCTTGCCTCCTGCTCCCTTGTTCCCTCCTCCTCGTCCTCCTGTGTGTCGCGCCATGGACAGAGAGGGAAAAGAGAGAGAGAGAGAGTACGAGAAAGAGAGAGAGAGAAGGAGAGACAGAGAGAGAGAGAGAGAACACACAAAAGTAAGGCGAGACAAGGAGGAGAGAGGGAAGGGCAGAGACAGAGATGGAGGCAGAGATAGAGAGAGAGAGAGAGACAGGCAGACAGGCAGGCAGGCAGGCAGGCAGACAGACAGACAGACAGACGCACGGACGGACACACAGACAGACATACAGTCAGAAAGAGGAGGGAGAGAGAGAGAGAGAGAGAGAAAAATATAGATGGAGAGAGATGGAGGGAGAGAGAGAGAGAGACATATAGATGGAGAGAGATGGAGGGAGAGAGAGAGAGAGAAGGACGTGTGTGTATATATATACATATATACATATGTGTGTGTGTGCGCATGGAGATCGAATGATCAAGCCGATGCGGTCAGAGCCTGCCCGGGCGCCGCGCGGCGAGCCGCGCGTGCACTTCCCTTCGCGGATGGGGCCGGCGCACGGCACGCCCGTGGCGCGAGGAAGCAAAACGAGGCCGTCGGCGCGCGAGAGGACCCACGACGCATGGACCTCCTCCTCCTCCTCCTCCTCCTCCTCCTCCTCCTCCTCCTCCTCTCGCCGGGCAGCGCAAGGCCGCGGGGTGTCGGGAGCCTTGGGGCGGGGGTCCATGCAGACGGGGGTCCGCCAGAGCGCCCGATCTTGCAGGGTCCCGCAGGACCAGGGTCGCGCTGACCCGGGCTTGGGCGCAGGATCCTGCAGGATCCTATCGCATGGACCAGGGTTTGGGTGCAGGATCTTGCAGGATCTGGCAGAATTCTTCAGGCAGTGGCGAAGCGTCCTGGCGCGCCTATGGCCCTACCAAACAATGTTCTAAGAACCTTTGTGGTTTCCACGACATGTTCTTAGAACATTTCTGGCGGAGACTGTCTTGTTTTATCACATCGGGTTTATGTTCTAAGAACGTTGTTTTTGTTCTTAGAACAGCTTTGGGTTCTAAGAACATTTCGTGGTAGGACTATAGGAATGCCGGGACGGTCGGTCCCTGCTCAAATTCTGCAAGGCCCGGCTGACCCGGGTCTGGACTGACCCGGGTCCGAAGATCCCCGAGGGCGGAGCCCGTGGGGTGGAGGCCGAGAGCGGGACGGCGCCGTGGCGAGACGCCCTCCCCGGCCAGGGTCGTGGCATCGCTCGGGCGCGTGTCTTCTTCCTCGGCGAGGGCCACCGAGGAGAGCCGTTTTGGGCCACCCTGCGAGGAGGTGCACGCACGATGCCGAGAAGTGCACTGGGAACGGGCGTCCGAGCGATGGCGAGTGGCGTCGGCGCCACCCAAAGATGCTCAAACTATGTGCGCGTCGCCTCCTCAGTGGCGACGCGCGCGCCGAGAAAGAAGTCTTGCTGTATGAGCTGTGGCGGGTGCTTTGCGGCCAGGCCGCTCGGGAAGCTATGTTCTAGAAGACGGTGTGACTACATGTCCAGGTAGGACGCGCGCCTCCGAGGAGGACACGTACTCCCGGAGTGTCCTCTTTCTGCGCCCCATGGTGGGTCCCACCAGGAGGCCCAAACAAAGCGACGTCCTCATTTTTTCAGGACGAAGTCCCCAGAAGTCCCGAGCCTTTCCCTGGGGCCGGACTTTCATCCTGAGTCGTTTTGTTGACGGTCCCGAGGCCCAGGGAGGGCCCCCCGAGGCCAAAATAGGCCCAAAATTTTCCCGTTCTGATTTTTTACGACGCGATCATGTCTGGCCTCCTCCCCCCAGCTGGTGCTATCGCCCCCCCCCGCCCCCCGCGAGAGGTACCCCCAGACATGATCGCGTCGTTAAAAAATCAGCACGGGAGGGGGGCCCTCGCTGGGCCTCGGGGCCGTCAAAAAAAAAAAAATCAAGATGAAAAACCGGCCCTGGGGAAAGGGTCTGGACTTCCGGGGACGCCGTCCTGAAAAAATCAAGACGTCGCATGTGGGGAGGAGGAAGGGTGGACGAGGTGGGAGATGGGGGGGAGGAAGGGAAGGACAGTACCCTACCACTCAGGGCGCGGGGGCCACAGGGGGGGGAAAGGGGGCGGGGGAGGGCGCCCGCGGGGAAGCAGCCGATGGGAGCAGTCGCGACGACCGAGGGGCGTGGTGGCCAGTGGGCCGGTGCTGCATCCACGGAAGCAGCGAGCTGCACGCCGTCCGTGTCAGCTGTGGCAGACTCAGGCCACGCCCAGGCGAGAGGTGGCGTGGAACGGGCATCGGTCGTGGCGACCGTGACGCTTGTCCACGGACAGCTTCTGTGTACCGTACCGCATTGGCGTCTCCCGAGGCGTCGTCGGTTCTCGACCCAGTAATGGCGGCACGGTAGGCACGGCTCGTGCGGGTTGTAGAGGTCGCCGCCCAGGCCCAACAGGTCTTTCGCGTCGTTTGGGTTGGAGCCCAGCTGTTGAGCCTCTGGGAGCTGTTTGGAGACCGAGCTGCCGCAAGGGGCGGCATGGATGGTGTCTCGCCTGGGTTTTCGGGGTCACTGCCCAGCGTTTTCGGGGTCACTGCCCAGCCCGAACGGGTCGTCCTCGGTGTCGTGGTCGTGAAGAGCCCAATCCTCCTCAGGATCGTGGGGGTCAGAACGTGGCTTGAGCCAGAATGTTCCCCTGTCATGACCACTGGGGCAATGGAGAGGGATGCTACTGAGCGGTGGACCAGACTCCTTGTCACGTCTCGCCGAGCCCCACTGGGCGCGTCACGCCGTTCAGGAGGCACATTGGCGCCAGCGCAGGCGTGAATGGTGGAGTCGCCGTTGTTGGCGTTGGTGCAGGCGTCGGTACAGGAGCCGACGAGGCCTGCGTCGATACGGCCATCGATGCAGGCGTCGGTGCGGAGGATACCGATATAGACGTCGGCGCAGGCGGTGGTGCCAAAGCCGACGGCGCTAGCGTCGAGGCAGGCGTCGAATGTGTAGACGTCGATGCGGGCGTTGATGAGGTCGACTGGGCAGGCGTGGATGCAGAAATCGCCGATGATGGCGTCGATGCAAGGGTCGACGGTGCTGGCATTGATGCAGGCGTCGGTGCGGAGGACGACGGTGTAGACGTCGATGCTGGCGTCGATTTTGAAGCCGACGGCGCTTGCGTCGAAGCAGGCGTCGAACATGCATACGCCGTTGCAGGTGTCGATGAGGTCGACAGGGTAGGGCAGGGCGCAAAATTCGCAATGCTTGTGCCGACTTTAACATCGATGCGAAGGTCGACGGGGTGGGCGTCGGTGCAGGCGTCGATGCAGAAGTCGACTGTGTAGACGTCGATGTTGACGTCGATGCGGGAGTCGATGACGTAAACGGGGTAGGCGTCGATGTGGAAGTCTCCGATGCTGACATCGATGCTGGCATCGATGCAGAGGCCGACGGTGGAGTCTACGGTGTCGGCGTCGTCGCAGGCGCATCCCTGAGCGTTTCACCTGACCGTCACGACGTCTCGCCATCCATTCCTCCTGGCGTCGCTGCCGCCAAGAGCAGGGGGCGTTGGTGACAGTTCACCAGGGTTGTGGATGTCACTGCCCAGCCCGAAGAGGGCCTTCGTCATTGTCCTTGTCATGTGGAGCCGAGGCCACCTCGAGACCATGGAGGTCGGCACTAGGGTCAGCACAGCTGCTGGCAGCTGCAGCTTTTGGGCCAGTGGCGCGATCTTGGCGATCGACCTCGGCGTAGTCATGAGCGGCCGATCCGCGGGCCTCGGGGTCCCGTCGGGGGACCAGGCTGCCGCGAAGAGCAAAGTGTGCGGGTGACGTCTCGTCAGGGTTGCGGAGTTTGGGAGGTCACGGCCTGGCCCTCACGGTTCAGCCTCCTGGTCGCGGGCGTGGAAAGCCCAGGTTGGCCTGAGCAGCGGCTTGGCCAGCATGTTGGCAGGAAGCCCAGGTCGGTTCCAGAGCCTGAAGGTCGGGGCGGGGCTCGACAGCTGTTGGCAGCTTTTCGGCAAGAGGCACGGTCTTGCCGATCGCCCTCGGCACGTTCGTGGACGGCTGGCCCGCGGGCATCTGGGGACGTAGGGCCTACGACACATGCGTCGGTGCAGGAATCGCCGATGTGCCGGCGTCGATGCTGCAGTCGATGCAGGAGGTGACTGTGTAGACGTCGATGGTGGCGTCGAGGCTACGGTCGACGTAGGAGTCGGTGCAGGCGTCGATGCAGGAGTTGACGACCGTGGCGTCGACGTGGGCGTCGATGCAGATGTCGTCTTCGTAGACGTCGATGCAGCCGACGGTGTAGGCGCCGATGTAGGGTTCGAGGCTGGATTTGACGGTCGACTGCCGCCCCTCGGTCTCTCGATGCGCGGCGCCAGCGTGCACTGCCTACCCTCAGGGCCTGTGGGGGCTCCGGGCCGGAGGCGCGATCTCTTGGCGACCGCCCGTGGTGGCAGCGTGTGCACAGCCGTCACAGCGGACCGCTCGCGCTCGCTACGAACACCGCAGCCCCAAGGGTTAAAAGGCATACTATAAGCTGCACGACCGTCCGCTTATTATGAGCGGGCCCGCTGTCGACGGCGCACACTGGTATGGCGGCACTCCTGCCGAGCCGTGCTCTTTGACACCGACGTTTGACCTTGCATAGATGAGAGTACGAGCCGAAGCAAGCTCTGGACACAAGCAGCCTGAAGGTGGCCAGGGAACTGATCAGGATAAGATGCATGACCGTCCCCATTTTATGAGCGGACCCCCCTCGTGTTGGATCCAGTGGGTGGCGTTGATTGGAGTGTCTGGGGTGCAGCACTCTTTGCGATCTCTGCGATCGCAAAAAACAGAAATCGGCGATCGCACTCTGTTGCTTCCTGCGCGGCCTCCTCGTGGGCCTATGGGGGACCCCGTAGGGCGGGGAAGCTCGTCGTGAGTGGCCTCGCCAGGCCGGTGCGTGTGCCACGGCCTGGTGGGCTTCGGAGGGGCTGGGGTGGGACACGCGGCGTCGCGACGCCTGGCACTCAGAGGAGCAGGAGGTCATGATACAGTCGGACCGAGATATGAGATCGAGGTCGGTTCGGGGAGGGTATCCTAATGTTCTCCGTGCTTGCTGGACGTTCTTGTGCATCCTGGGGAGGGTACCCCTGGAGGTTTTGCTCGTTTCGGCCGACGGAGGGTCTCGCGTTCTTGAAGGATGTTGTTTGGCTTATAGGTCCAACTGTGATGATCTTTTCCAGGAGCTCCACGGTGCCATGGTGCGCGCGCGAATACTGGAAAGGGTGTTTGACACGAATCAGTCAACCGCTGGGTTGGCGTGTGTCCAGTTTCGCGATGCGATCAACGGTAAAGCCGGGTGCTTCGTGTCTGTGGCTGCACCTCTACTCGAAGGCGCTCGAGCCAAGACTATAGAGAGAGAGAGAGAGAGATAGAGGAGGAGAGGGAGGTGGTCCATACAGAGAGAGAGAGAGACGTACAGGGAGTGAGAGAGAAAGAGAGAGATATATATATATATATATATACATAATCTGTATAGATGTACAGAGATATAACACAAAAAAGGGAGCCGTGTGCCTGCGAATACGTGCGTGCAGCAGCAGAGCCTGCCACGTTACCCCCAACCGGATCAGGGTCAAGTGCAGAAATTGTTGACGCGGAGGACGGTGCTGGCCAGGGAGCACGCAGAAGGTAATCAGCCGGAGCTTGAGGCAAGGGGCTGGGCACAGGCTTCGCGATGTTGCCTCGGCGGCGTGATCCTACACAGTGCTCTGGCAAGCGGGCTTCGTGTCATCCATGAGGAGGGCCCGTTGCTCTTGCAGCGCTGCCGCCGCGGTGTTTGCATGTGCCCTCTTCTTGGTGCGGGCACCCCCCTGCTCCCCCCTCACTCACCCCCTCCGCCGTCTTTGTCTTCGTCCTCCCATCCTCCCCCCTCCTCCCTCGCTCGTCCCTGCTTCTCTCCGTTCACTCTACAGTGTTTGAAGACGACTGGCGAATTCCTCTCTCACCTGGCAGAGCGCGTGCGTGCTCCTGCCCGTCATCCGCCTCTTTTGCCCCATGGCCGGGATGGTTTCCGATCATGCAATTTGTGCCGTGCCCTTTTTCCGCTCCAGATTTCCGCGCTGAGCAGTGTCAATTTCGGAGTGGGTCGGCATTCGAGTTGTGGCGCCTTCTCCTTGCGCCCCGCCCCCTCGTCTCGCCACGATGCGCTGTGGCAAAATGTGTTAAACCACATGAGCTCCGAGGGTGTTGTGGTGTACTTGCTTGTTCGATCGGAACGTGCTGTGGCCACACTGCAGCGCTGGCCACATTTCAGGATTGGTGCCTTGATCCCGTCGCTTATACGCTCCAGCGCCGGCCAGGGTCCCGAATCCGACTCCCTCCCCGTCGTTGCTGTCACCCTCCTTCCTCGTCCTCCACCTTCCCCTGCTCCGCATGCCCCTTCTGAGCTTCTGCTGTTCCTCTCCCGCTTCCTCCTTCTTGATCTTGTTCATGCGTTTCCTTCTTCTCCTCCGCCTCCCTCTCCCGTGTACAAGAATCGGGCGGGACGAAAGGGGGGGATAGGGAAAGGGGGGGGGTACGAAATTTGCGGCATGCGGCTGGATTCGGCCTCACCGAGGGGCCCGTTCCTCGATGCGTGGCCGCCTCTGGCGCCAGGAGGCGCCGGGAAAATCAGCTACGTGAGCCGATCCTCCCGTGTGCGAGCGGCCCCGGCTCCCCATGCCACAGCACACGGGCGAGCAAGATCTTCCGGGGCGCCCGGTGTCGGCAGGTATGAGAGGCCCCTTTGCGTTTCAGGGGTTAAAACGGGTAGGGAGGGGGAGGGGGCATGGGAGATGGGGGAGGCAAGGGTGGGTGGGGGTAAGGAGGAGCAGGAGAAGGAGCTTGGAGGCAGAGGGAGGGGTCGGGGGAGACGGGATGGGGAAGGAGGGGGAGGATGGACGACAGTACCGCCCGAGGAAGAATGGGGTGCAGGAGTGTTAAAGAAGAGGGAAGAGGATGGCGAGTAGGAGGGAGGGTCCAGCCAGCCCCGACCGCATGACCGCGCTTCTGAATTCGCTTCGGAGCACCCGCGG